TTAGTCACGTTCGACCATAAAGGTGCAACTTTCAATGAACGTTGAGTAACTTATACCCATTGGGACCTCACACTTCAATTCCCAAAAACATAATTTAAAAAATTGAACTATTTGAGAACCATATATCAGTTTTGGCAAGTAGACAATTGTGGGCCATTGGGCCCTCTAGGAAACTAGGTTCTCTTTGCAAATATATACATACACACATAATAATAACTCATATGTACATACATACATTATGTATGTTTGAAATATGTAGTATTCCAAAATGTAAAAATGTTAAGTTGCGAAATTACAAACTACAAAACTCAATATGTAATGTTGGACTAAATATAGTCTTTAATACTTACGTAAAACCTACCTCTTTATGTAAATATACAGATACCCTTCAGTCAAATACATATATTCATAAATAATTTTATGGATTACATTACTCCCCAAAGTTCAGGGCTTACATAGGTATTGCTTTCAAGATGAATTAAATTTGATTAGAGAAAATAATTTCTTTCTTCATAAATATTCATGCATTCTTCCCATGCTGTGTAATCAACTTTTTCAAAACCTTTCCTTCTATCGCTGGATCATCCGATACTGCGAAATAAGTCAATGTCTCGCAGTACGTATCTAGAACTTGGCAAAACTAAGCTTGCTTGATAAAAAGAAACAAAATTTATTTTATTGACATCAATAAATGCAAATTGGTATAACAAAAATATATTACCATTTCTAAACCTGTAGTTGATATAAAATTTACCAATCTAATGTTTTCAAAATGACATACTAGTTATTTAACTGCCACGAATGTGAGGCTAAAAATTTCAGACTAATTTATCCCTCAATCAAAATGCCGACAGGATCCTGTATCCACGCCCTGAACGAATATGCTTCGTTGTATCAGAGGTTTGGGACGATACCGATCAGCTGGAACGTACAGAAGAAAAAGTTCGTATACCAAGCTAATCATAGAGAATTACGTTTGTGGTATTTCAACATGTCTTTCGTAGTATTAGGAACGCTAGGTTGTTGTTTTATTTGTGTCAGGGAGATCTTTGTTAAAGTGACGAATATCCCGACGTATGTTTTAGTCATGCAAATATTTTGGGGATTACTTGGAGGCGTGCTGGGCTGTGGGGTTGGGCTACTGTTTTTCATATACGGGCAGGAAGGGGTTCTTGCATGGGAAAATTTGGTCATTATAGAAGTTGCCATACTCAAAGGTAAATATATAAATACTTGCCCCTTACATACATATAACAAATATAAGATTTAATTTTAGTTAAGTATACCAACTTCAGCAAGTGACATATGGACACATCTAACTGTAAATGTTAGAAATTATGTACATGCATGAATATCAAATTAACACTTCTAATTTCATTGCAGAATCGAAGATTAAAATGAAGAAACCCGCTTTGTTGGAGGTTTTCACACGCTATTTTCACATGCTATTTTGATCATGAAACTTCTCCCCATTTCGGTTGTTCTCATATGTTTCTTAGTAACTTTGTCCCGTTTGGATCCTATATTCTACGTGCTTAAAGCCTTCATACCGTCGCAAGTGTTGGTATATTTTTGCTACAATTGGCGTCCTTGAATGGATCAGAATCGGAGCCTTCATATTCGTAGGGGTAAACTCTATAGTGGATTTCATCTTTTTCCTCATGGGACAACTGAGATATGGAAAACTCTCTTTCGGATTGACGTGGCGAGTTTACCACATGTTACACATTTTGCTTGCGTCTATTCATGGGATCAGTGATACCGCCGTTGGTGCTTTACTGGCTTCATTGACGGGGTCGGCCATTATCACGCTCTACTTGTCACTTTCTGCGTATTCATTAATTCCGATTGCAGTGTATTTGATTTTTCCTTGCTTAGCAATTGTCATTGTCAGTGTTCTGCAAGTTCTCGTAACGCCTTTCATCTATCAGTATGAGGAGTCGGCCGAGATCATTCAGAAATTGAAAATTGTCCCCGTAAAAATCCGTTATTATCGCAGATCCTTCAATCCAAGGAGGTTTGTGAGTATGAGGATAAGGGTAATGCGTCCATTCACCTTTTACGCAGTAGCTTTTGATTATCGATTCATCATATTAAGGAAATGCACTAAAATTACGATTATTGAAAAAATTGCTTATTTTACGATTACGGCACTCTTGGCACACCGATAATAAATGTGTGTAAAGTGGTTGAGCAATAAATAATTAGTACATACACAATTTTTGAAGAGTGCTTAAAAGAATACGATAAGTTGTTAATTCAGGAAACGGTGGGCTATGTATTTATATATTTTGCACTGGCTAAAACCGTCTCATTTATTTATTTATGAGTTATAGACTATAAACATATATAGATATAGTTAATCTGTAAGCAATATCCAATTTTCTTACGAATTATATAAGTGATAAAAATATTTCAAACTACGAATTGCCAATGGTATATAATCAATTATTTAAATCATCTAAGCACCATCTATTGAAAATTATTAGAGGACAATTTGCTTCACTTTTTTGTATACTTAAGTCGCAATGAAAGTCACAATGGGCCTGAAGACTATTCTTAGGATTAGCGGACAATTTTCAATTTTCCATACGAAATTGGATAAAAATTTATTTCCCACTTCTCTGAACCGAATATTCAGAGTTTCACGGGGTTTACATATTTATGTACCTATGTACAAGTGATACTAGTATGAAAGATATTAAAATGTAGATACTTGCAGGAATGGAGATAGACGCTCCATGCGACAATCATGCATGTACATATGTAAGTACATTCATGAAATGCATTTACGAGGGCCGGACTTAATGACTAAGCTTGACCGTGAAAGAGGGTAATTTTGTCCCACATTTTTGGTTTATGCGATTTCGGTTTAGGTGAAAGTGGCGATTGAGTTGGGGTGGATTTGGGTGGGGGTTGAGTTATCAGTGCCGCACTTACCAGTGGATATCGTGTACCATTCCTTTAGCTGATATTTTGGATAGAAGTTAAATACCTATTACATCCATACATATTTACATACTACGAACCCCACCCACAAATCTCATCTGACACATTCAAAATGCATGATCCCTTACACTAATCTCTCTGGTAAATACGTAACATCCGATTTCACAAGGAAGTGGAGTGGTTTATTCCAGAAAGAAACATTTCTGGGTCAACAGTGTGTCCGTTGTGTGTTATTTACAGCTAAGCCCTTTGACCCCGTAAAATTAACTCAGTATGGCATCATAATCTTACTCAGGGTATTCCGACCCAGGGTTTTATTGGGTTGGGTTTTTTGGGTTTTAATGGGTTTTAATGGGTTGTTAACGAATAAAACCCATTGAGTTTTACCATGTTAAATGGGTTTTATTTGGGTTTTAATGGGTTTTATTCGGGTTTTAATGGGTTTTAACTGTGTTTCAGCTTAAAACTATATTCTAAAAGCTGAAAACAGCTGTCATACGTTAGACGAAGTTATTTTATGGCAGCTAGCAGTCTATTTGATTAATACTGTAAGTTTTGAAAACCAGGAATAAATCAGCGAGTGCCATTACAGGTTTCAAGTGACAAAAAATAAATAAAAAATAATTTCGGAACGAGGTATGTTTAACTGAGCATACATAATTTAATTACATTTAATTTACATTTTGCTGTCATAATTAATACTTTTTTCCCGAATACTTCCTCTCATCTCAGCGAATAAATTAAACAAAATACTATAGTATTTTTTTAATTTATAAAGTTTTTTTAAAATGTTTCAAGGCGATCTTAATTATCACCTCTGAAAAAATCGAGTACTTATGGACAACGAAGTACTTTATTATGAGCAAAAGAAGTGTGTCTGTAAAAATCACTTATTATATTCCTGATCATAATACATACGTACTTTTGTTGTTCCATGAGTTTCATTGTTCCATAAGTACTCGATTTTTTCCAGAATTGATAATACACGTTAAGATCGCATTGAAATATTAAATTTTAAAAAGTTTAAACAACTTGGATTTCATTATGATGAGAGGAAGCATTCGAGAAAAAGGTAATATATGTAATTAATTATGGTCACATAAAGTATTAGATTATGATCAGTTAAATAGGACCATTTCGAAACGGATACAAATTCTAACATGGACAAGGAGGATTTGCATATTAACTGAAATTGGATTGCAATAGTAGTGAAAATTGTTGTTCAATGTATTGCTTATGTAAAACCTAATAAAACCCAATAAAACCCATAAAACCCATTAAAACCCAAAAAACCCATTAAAACCCATTAAAACCCCTGGGTCGTTACTTTTTGATTAAAACCCTGGGTTTTTCCGAACCCTGACTTACTTATGTATGAAACAGATTTTGTGTATTTTCGCTTCACAACTGAACTGTTTGCATGTAACATACTCATGTTGCACAAATATGTACATATGTATGTACTATGCACATATTATGCACATATATACTTCCTTCCAATCGAGGACTACGGAACCGTGGGGTCATTATGGGGGCAATTACGTTGTAAAATAGGAAGAGCAAATTTGAATAACATTGCAAGGAAAATCATTTCTGCGTGTACCTTGTCCCCATGGTCCCGAGCTTATGCGTCCAATACATCTGTATCTACATACATAAATACACTCCATACGGTGCATGTCATATGCGCCGTCACCAATGAGCAATACCAAAGGTTATGATAATCCTGTAAATATCCCAAATTTTATCTCCAATTTTATGACTGACCAAAACGTTTGGAAACTTTTTCTCCCTTAAGTATGTAAGCACGTTTACATTGACGTTTATATAAATAAATTTCCATGAGATGATGTTAACCGTACAGGTTTACGCATTTGCGAAAAAATTGAGGTACGATTTGGCAAGTCAATATTTGGCCACGCGACTCAGACGTGTTCACAACTTACGCCATTGGAACATGAATATGTTGTACATATGTATTTACATAATATGTAAATTATATTTACATATGTGCATATTATGTATGTACATAAATATAATTTAATTTACAACATTTTGGACACGATCTCTGCCAGCATTGAAAATTAGAAATACTCCTCGGTCATGATTTTCTCGTACTATTTTTTCTTCCTAATATTTTTAGGAGGAGAAGTACAACTTTGTCAACTGGTAGGTACATTTACAAATTTTCTTGGTGTTCATTTTGGTCTAAATTGTATGTCCGATATTAAAATCGTACTTGATTCTTAACCTTTTTGCAGGATTTAAATTTGAAATAAGAATTAGAAAATCCTACTAAACTGTCGGTTTTCAATTTATCATTTTTTTTATTTTGTTTTAGGTTGAAGGTTCGGATCATAATGATGCACAGGCCTTTCGTCGCACCGTTAATAATCTACTTGAAAATGTTAGCAATTATTTTGAAGAAAATTTTGCCTTTCAAATTTTATTTTTGGAGATATTTCATTTTTTAAGCTGGCCGACCAAATAACCTACATACCCACGAAGGATGAGCTCGCCGCGTTGGAAACCAGATTACACGAGAAATTGGATAGTTTACAAACGGATGTCCTGAATTAGGAAGCTCTTGTCAACTCGGAGATGGAAATGGGTACAAATTATGTACAAAAAGAAATTTACAATCCGAGGAAGCGAAGGTCAATTCAGGTGTGCATATAACTACTAAAATACTAACTAAATCCACGCAGGTACCCGTTAAATAGTGGGTAAAGGTTATTTATACTCCTTCAGGCGCCAGATTACGCAGCTACAAATTATCAATTGGGCATTACACCAGAGGCTCATAAGGTAGGCATGCGTTCATAATAAAAATTTGTATCGACGTGTTTACGTAATTTCGCGAATTGCATAAATTGTGTTCAGGCTAAATAAATCTCATTTTTAAAGTTATTTTGTCATATGATTACGTAAACTATTTGATAATGAATAGTCTTGAATAGACATACGTACGTGTTAGATTTAAGGATTTTGACATTTATTTATATAAAACACGATAATCAATCTGGAATTTTTAAAATCAGCCTAACTTTCAGTCCAATTTTAACCAAACGTGTCAATTTGTGGAGCAACTATTAACCGTGCAGAAGGACCAAGCCACAGTTTTGGACGAGATAAGGAACACAAGCCACAACATGCTTCGGGGTGTTGGCGCCATCGTGGAGGCAGTAGACACATTGAAACATGTATGTACATATATATTTATGATTAATAGGGTATCCAAAATCGGTTTATCCGATTTTTTAAAACCGGTTAAAAGTCGGTTTTCGATTTACCCGAAAACCGGTTTTATAATTATCCAGAAAACGGTTTTGTGAAAAACCGGTTTTACAAAAGGCGTTAGGACATGGTTTTGACGAATTCATATTTTAATTGCGGGATGGTTTTTAGTTGTAGAGATTTCTAACATTTTTTATGTGAAAGCCCGTGTCTCAAACTATAGGTAAACATGTCTGGCTTCCGGTTTTGTGTACTCTGCGAAATGAGGCAAGGTCAAATTTGGAGAGGTGTCCTTTTTTAGTTTTCCAAACCAGTGTTCTTATAAAATGGCGTTGAACTGAATATTTTTTTCTTAGGTCCTGATGCAAAAATCGTCTTTGCGACTATTTTTAAGGGACTTAGCATGCTTTTCACTATATAAAACCACGTTTGCCTTATGCGTATCTTTTAAGTCCGTTTTGCAGTCTAATTTCATACTTGTCTTAATGGAATGCGCTCTTTAACGCAACTCTTCCACTTTTAAGGCCCCCACATTTTACGACTTTGATGCTAAAAATCCCTAACGTGGTTTTTATCCAAGGTACATATAGTATATTGCACTGTAAATATTTTTGATTAAATTTTGATAAGTGGTTACACCCCACGAAATGAGTTTTCATCAAACCCAATAAAATTTTTGGAAAAGTTTCCGTCGTCATCAAGGTTGAACTTCAAAAATAATTTAACTAACCAAAACTTGGTAATTTTATTATTTTGTCACTTGTACCTTGTAGGTAAAATAGTTCTGTAGCAGGGGACACAAAAACGTTATTAAAATTTATTTTCAACAAAATTTGACCATTAATTTTCCAAATTAGTTTACGAGTTTTTTATGATTCCCCGTCAGCTGATTAGCTTGGGTCCTTCTCCAAGACTGTTTACTCAAAATCTTAACTATTTTGTTTAATATTACTCAGGACACTTCCAGCTTTACCCTCAATCTTCATTTGACCCAGTGGGTCTGCATTCAAGGTCAGCAGGTCAATTTTCCCGTGCACGGTCCGATTTATCACTTTTCATGGAAAAATTTCATTGACAATGGAAGGCCAACGTTATGTAATTCATGTAGATTCTTTTATTATTACATGCAATGATTATCTAGGGTTATAATATTAAGAATAATTCACCTCTGACCTCTTAGGTTATTATGCTATACGAGTACTTAAGTTTGGAAAGTGTTTTTACGGCACCCTCCAACTCTGAGGACACTGGAGGTGTCATTTTTGAAGCTATCACCTTAAAATTTTGGAAATACCTTTTTGAGAGTATTATCTTGCAGTCTACCAAAAATCACTTCAAAATTCTACTCCCTGCCAGAGATATTCACCCGCGAATTCGTCAAAACCATCACCTAACGCCTTTTGTATCCCACCTCACTCGAAAACAGGTTTTCGATTTTTGATAAAAATTGTTTTTGAACCACTAAATATTTGTTATTTCTTGATTTTGGTCGATAAATAAATTGTTCTGAAATATTTTTTTCCAAATTAATGCCCTAAGTGTGTTCAACTTTAAATTTTACCACTTTATATTTATCAAATTTTTAAAATTTGGTAGAAACCCGGTTTCAAAAACCGGTTTTGGAGAAAATCGAAAACCGGTTTTTCGAAATTTTGAAAAACCGGAAAACTCGAAAACCGGTTTTACGAAAGTTTGGCAAAATCGGAAAAATCGAAAACCGGTTTTTCAAAATTTTCCGATTGTGGATGCCCTAATGATTAACCATTCCCTTGACTTCTTTTCTTTTAATTAATCATTTATAGCAAGTCAAAATATTAGTTGTTCAAAATTGATTCCAGGTATACCATGAAATTGGCACAGAGCAGGTGAAGGCTTGTGGGTATGCTTCCGAGCTTACAAATTCTACGTTCCGTAATAAACAAGTAATAAATTTGTTTGCATCTCGTACATATTTTGGTTGCAATAACGACTAATTAAATTATAATACGTTTAGCTCGTTTGCGATAAAGGTTGGACCCTAATTCAACGAAGGGGTGCTCCAACCCTGCCAGGGAGCGAGAGAACCAATTTCGAAAGAAACTGGGAAGATTATGAGAACGGGTTTGGTACACTGGACCAAGATTTCTGGCTCGGTGCGTACGATCTGAAAAACAAATTTAGTAATTATCCAAATTTGGGTTAACTTTCGATCTAACTCCAGGTTTACAAACCATTCATGAACTCACGATGGCGGGATATACGCGGTTACGAGTTGATCTCGAGGACTGGGAGGGTCACAAGAAGTACGCAATGTACGGCGTCTTCAAAGTCGGCGGTGCCCGAGACAAGTACAAGTTAACGGTAGGCGAATATACAGGGACGGCAGGTTAGTGTCCTCAACCAAGCAGAGTAATGTTCTCGATTTTTTTGATAACCTTACGAACTACGTTAACTGTACATAATTATGAGACGACTAGCATTAACCTATCCATCAGTTTGTTATGCGCCAATTCAGATTTACTCTTGTACTCTGCAGGGAATTCCTTATCCTCAAATTCTGGGGAACAATTCAGCACATATGATAATGACAACGACGCCAACACCTTTACCAATTGTGCTGCTGAATATCGAGGTGGATGGTGGCAAGGAAATTTTTGTTCTGAAGTAAATTTCTATATACATTCCATACATTCCTACAAGCATAGTTTTAAGTGTTTCACAATTTTTTTGTCCGATTTATAGAGCATCCTGAACTCCGTATACCACAATTCCAGTAATGTCGGAAAACCTGGTGTTGGTGTGATCTGGTGGCATTGGACGGATACAGAATATTCTTTAAAGAAGGCGGAAATGAAGGTTCGCAAGCCGTCGGCATTTACTTGAGGAGATTTTGAGCCTGGACCTGGGCAGCGCAGATGTAATGGATACTACTGTATTTAAATATGTACAAGGAATATGTCATCTACGCACAATAGAAGCAATACAATATTATTTTTACATAACATACTTACCATATACATTCGCTCACAGATCTATTTGTAACTATATATATGCAGCATATTTCCACAAAAATTTCATAAATTCAAAACAACAAGAGTAAATTAGCCGTTTGGTTGATACAAAAGCTTTGCAAGATTAGTGGAGTGAGTCCATCAACAAAATTCTGACCAAAGTTTACTTTCAGTAGTGTTAAAGATGCTAGTATCTTTTTATTTATCTTGCTATTTCCTCTTGTCTGACACTCCTTTAACCACTTCACGCTCCGTTCATGAATCATGCCAGCTCCGGAAAAAAACACCAGAATGAATCCTGTCACGGCCAGGGTTTCCACTGCGACGACAGCAAATTCCAAGGGGTTCATTCTTCGATACAGACGGATGCATGCAAATCCTCCCAAAATTTCAAGGATGGGAAAAATTCCCACGATCACGGGGAAAATGCGGGCCTGGATGCACGCGTTGAACAATTTCTCAAATACGTTAAGCTCTCTATATTTTCGCGTAAGCTTGACACGTGTGGAGTCAAACAGCTTTGAGGATTCCAGCCACAAGTGGATCATTCCCCCGAAGAGGAGACACCCTGTAAAGACACCCTCAAGCAGGGTTACATAGTGTAAAACGACAAATTCAATCATCGCCAAAGTTACGACAACAATTGAGCATGGAGCCTGACAGGAACTCGGTGAGAGCAAGATTGAACCCAGAAATGGCTGTTTGCATGGGTCAAACAAAACCAGAATAGCGATCGCAGCGGGAAATGTGAAATACCCAATGCTCAAAATGAGTAAGAGGAGGCGGGATATTTTCAGCACGATGAGTCTCGACTGGTGCGAGGAATCTGGTCGACATAAAAAAAATTAGATAGAGTTAATATCAATTTATTTTAACGAAGGGGTACTAATTTGGAGTCTGAAATCTTACCATTTTTTCTTGCGGGGTCAATGGTCCGTTTGGAGATGATATTCAGCAAGTGCGGGATTCCCTTATCAGCTTCCCAATACAGAGTGATGAGTAGATTGGGGACATATGATAGCGCGAATAACGCAGAATTTAGCTTCGTTACAGGGTTTGAAGTGTCGTTATGCCACAATATTCCGTACGGTAGTAGTACGACGTAAACCACATACGGCACGAAACTAAGACGGTCCAACAATGCCCCACGTCCCCTTCTGCAGGTCACGAGCTGCTTATCTTTGTCAAAAGTGAATGACAACCAACAAAATCGGTCGGCAAGGGAGAAAGTTCGTTTTAAAAAGGGGAGCAGGATTTCTGACAACATTCCAGAGATCGGTATCGCACCCAGGGAAAAGATCGCTCAGAAGAAATATTTCTTTTAGAGGGAAATCATCTATCAAGGACAATTGTTACATATTGTTTAAGTCACAGAAAACTGAATATGTTACTTAAATACTATCCATCATGCAAATAAACCATACTTTGAATGCCAAATTAATCAAATATAACTTGTAAGCAATCCTAACCTTTTGTTATCAATATTTTTTCTATTGAAGAGATGTTAAAAAGGGTACTTTTATTAGTCTACGAGAATAATAAAAATCATCCACTTACATATTTCAAGCTGTCGACGGGAACGTTCTTATGTCATATGTCTTTTTTATACAGTTTGTCTATATTCAGTTAATGCACACACTTAAGATTAGATGATAGTATAAATACTCAGTCATAAATAAATTCTTATCTTAGGGTGCATTATTACAGCACATGCTAAATAATTAATTATTGCATTTAATGACATGAAAAGGGCAGGGCGGGTAGTTTTTGGATGTACAGTGGCAGCAAGATAACCTTACCCCGCCGAATCTCAAGGCCATGCGCGCACAACGACAGGCTCGATCCCGCACAAATCGCCTAAAAAACAGGGTCTCGTTTTTACACTCTAGTCACCTTAATATTTGACCTTTTGAGGTCAAACTTGGCACACACATTGCCACTCATGTTCCCCAGGGTGGTTTTCAAGGATTTTGACCTAGGTTACCTACGTGACCTTCCAGAAATCACCAAACTTTTTGCATAATATTTGGTTTTTACACTCTAGTGACCGCAATAGTTGACCTTTTGAGGTCAAACTTGGCACACACATTGCCAATCATATTCCCCAGGGTGGTTTTCAAGGATTTTGACCTAGGTCACGTACGTGACCTTCCAGAAATTACCAAACTTTTAGCATAATATTCGTTTTTACACTCTAGTGACCGAAATAGTTGACCTTTTCAGGTCAAACTTGGCATACACATTTCCAATCATATTCCCCAGGGTGGTTTTCAATGATTTCGACCTAGGTCCCTTGAGTGACCTTCCAGAAATTACCAAACTTTTTGTATGATATTTAGTTTTTACACTTTAGTGACCTTAATATTTGACCTTTTAAGGTCAAACTTGGCACACACACTCAAAACCATATTCCCTAGGGTGGTTCTCAGGGATTTTGACCTAGGTCTCTTGAGTCCCTAGGGAATATGGTTGCGAGTCCGTGTGCCAAATTAGACCTCAAGAGGTCAAAAAGTACGGTTACTAGAGTGTAAAAACCAAATATCATGCAAAAAGTTTGGTAATTTCTGGAAGGTCACTCAAGGGACCTAGGTCAAAATCCTTGAGAACCACCCTGGGGAATATGATTGGCAATGTGTGTGCCAAGTTTGACCTCAAAAGGTCAAGTATTACGGTCACTAGAGTGTAAAAACCAAATATCATGCAACAACTTTGGTAATTTATGGAAGGTCACTCAAGGGACCTAGGTCAAAATCCTTGAGAACCACCCTGGGGAATATGGTTGTGAGTGTGTGTGCCAAGTTTGACCTCAAAAGGTCAACTATTACGGTCACTAGAGTGTAAAAGCCAAATATCATGCAATAAGTTTGGTGATTTCTTGAAGGTCACTGAAGTGACCTAGGTCAAAATCCTTGAAAACCACCCTGGGGAATATGATTGGCAATGTGTGTGCCAAGTTTGACCTCAAAAGGTCAAATATTAAGGTGACTAGAGTGTAAAAACGAGACCCTGTTTTTTAGGCGATTTGTGCGGGATCGAGCCTGTCGTTGTGCGCTTATGGCCTTGAGATTCGGCGGGGTAAGGTTATCTTGCTGCCACTGTATATAACGTTGTATAATTTATTTATCGTTAATCATACAAACTCAATTTATGTACGTACAATATGCATAGTAGAAATAATGATCACCATTTTACATATTTACTTACTTTGTATACAAGACACACACTTAATAAGTTGCATAACAAAATTAGGTAATTAATCATAACGCTGCAAATATTAGTGTACAAAATGGAGCAATTAAATAATTGCACACCTTTTCCCAAAAATCATTTCATACACAATTCAATTCTATTCAAACATTCAACAGCAGACATTTACTTAAAACAACAAGAGTAAATTAGCCATTTGGTTGATACAAAAGTCTTGTATAATTAGTGGACTGAGTCCATCCACAAAATTTTGCCAAAAGCTTACCTTCAGTGGTGCCAAGGAAGCTAAAATTTTTCGATCTACACGATTTTCTCTCTTCTGACATTCCTTTAGCCACTTCACGCTCCTTTCATGAATCATGCCAGCTCCGGAAAAAAACACCAGAATGAATCCTGTCACGGCCAGGGTTTCCACTGCGACGACAGCAAATTCCAAGGGGTTCATTCTTCGATACAGACGGATGCATGCAAATCCTCCCAAAATTTCAAGGATGGGAAAAATTCCCACGATCACGGGGAAAATGCGGGCCTGGATGCAGGAATTGAATAATTTCTCAAAAACATGAAGCTCCCTATATTTTTGCATAAACTTGACACGTGTGGAGTCAAACAGCTTGGAGGACTCGAACCACAAGTGGATCATTCCCGAGTAGAGGAGACATCCTGTAAAGAAGCCCGCAGTCAAGGTCACATAGTGTATAGCGCCAGATTCAAGCATGGCTAAGAATAGGAGAACAATTGAGCATGGAGCCTGACAGGAACTCGGTGAGAGAAAGATTGAACCCAGAAATGGTTGTTTGCATGGGTGAAAGAAAACAAGAATAGCGACCGCAGCGGGAAAGGCGAAATACCCAATGTTCACAATGAGAAGGAGGAGGCGGGATATTTTTAGCACGTTTCGTCTCGCCTGGTGAGAGGAACCTTGGCGCGAGATTATAATATTAGTAACAATTTATTTTAAGCGGGTATACAGTTTTTGGGCGGGAGTCTGAAATCTTACCGCTTTTCCTTTCGGGGTCAATAGTCCGTTTGGAGATGACATTCAACAACTGCGGGATTCCCTTGTCAGCTTTCCAATACAGAATGATTAGCAGATTTGATATATATGATAGGCTGAATAACGCAGAATTTAGCTTCGTTACATGGTTCGACGTGTTATTGTGCCACAAAATTCCGTACGTTTGTAGTACGACGTAAATCACATATGCCACGAAACTAATACGGTCCAACAATGCCCCAGGTCCCCTTCTGCAGGTCACGAGTTGCTTATCTTCGTCAAAAGTGAAGGACAACCAGCAAAATCGGTCGGCAAGGGAGAAAGTTCTTTTCAAAAATGGGAGCAGGATTTCTGACAACATTTCATAAGTCGGTATTGCACTCGGGTACGTAGCACCCAGAAGAAAGATCGATCAGAGTAAATAATTCTTTTGGGGGGAAATCATTTATTGAGGAGAATTTCTTATTACTATTTCAGTAAAAGAAGACAGAATTAGCTAGTTAATGTAAATAATTGAGATTAGGTACATCAATACCCAGTCACCAGTCGTAAAAATTCTTATCTAAGAGTGCATTGCAGCACCAGCTGAATAATTTAATGACATGAAAAGGGTCGGGCGGATAGTTTAATGTGCACTATCTTCAGATGTCAACTTATTTATTTTTAATCGCACAAGCTTATTTTATTATGTACATACTAATCTGTTTGTAAGCACATACATTAATTATACTATGTATTTAGGAAAGTCGCACACTAAATAAGTTTCATAACAAAATGTTGATGGAAAATCAGCAAATTACTTATTAGTATTTAAATTAAATGGGGTCCATAAGACATGAAATCTTAGTACGAGTATTTTCCTCAATTAAATCCTGCTTAAAAACATGCACAAGGTAGGAATTAACAAATTTTTGATAAAGTTTTCTTGGAAATTTAAGTGTATATAATATGTAAAATTCTTTACCAGAATCATATATTTGTAGCAGGGTTACAAGTGATATATATCACTGAGTGAGATTTAGTGAGATTTAATGATTTATATCATTTATCTCACTTGGGGCTGAGTGAGAAATATGAGAAATAATGAGATAAACATGTAGTTAATGACCCCGTCCGCTAGGTGGCGCTAGTGCATGGCTCATAAATCTCACTAAATCTCATATTTCTCATGTCTCACTATTTCTCATTATATCTCAGAGAGATGAGATTTACGAGGGTGAGATGAGATTTCTGCAACCCTGATTTGTAGTGTTAACAATATCATTAAGAGTGTTAGTGCTTTACTTCAACACGTACATATGTCCGTCGAGTGTGCAGTAGTTTTGTTACTGAAAGAATGATCCTGGATGAAAATTTTATATTTCGAATGCGACGATGGATGTAAATTATTTATTTCCTGGATAGTGTTAGATTTGTACCCATACCCGTGCCTAGGGCATTTTGACATTTATGACATGCCCTGTCTAGACAGATAGATATGCATACATACCTGCAGATACCTATGTAGGCGTATTTAGTAGCTCCAAATACCCATAAAACAATTACCTATTGTTTCATTTATACGTACATAGATAAAATGAGTTCTACAGTAAATAACCATTTTTAGATGATCTAATTTATTATTTTTCGGCAATCTATGCAAAAGTATTTTTAGGACATGCCGTATTGCATTCTGAAAGGGCATTTTAGGCATTTCGAATTGATTTATGAGTTAAGAATTTTTATGAAAGTTAAATTAAATTATGTATATATTGTTTTGCTCAAAAATTACGAAGTTTTTTATACATTAGCTTTTTGAAATATTCTTGGTTTGCACGTTCAACGTTATTAGAATTAATTTTAAAACATCTAATACTTAATACGTATGTAACGTTGTTGAAGAACCAAGGGTAGATTAGTGAGATTCGTTTAGTTTAAGGATTAAAAACAGATAACTTCATATTAGAGTTTATGAAGCTTCAATGTAAGTATTCTGGAATTGAAAAAATTCTCGCTTGTTATCTTCCTCGACGATGATATAAAAATTTTTATTTGCAAGATTTTGCAGATTACATTCCTCTGATAAATACATACCTATTTATGTACTTCTGTACATGGTCTTGCAAATTCGTGCATGGTAGAAACCATTAATCATGCCACTCGGGATTACTAAATTTTTCCAGCCAGCTTGTACAAACTTCGTCATTTTCCAAGTAACTACTCATTTTATCTATGTGCGGTTTACTTTAGTCACACGTGGATCGCATTTATGAAATTGTTGCTAATTAGCATCTATCTAACACATTAGATATGTCCATTGGTTAAACTTAATCAGCATCAAGACAAATAAATAAATATTTTCAAGTGGTTATATTAATTAACGAATAAAGTTGTTGAGTATGTAAAACAATTCTAGGAAGTAGGAACACATTTACATCATTATGTTCGAAAAATATTATTTCCAATCTGTCTGCTTATATTTATTGTAGACCGAAATCAATTAATTTAATAGTTATCTGCATAGCACATCACGCCATTATTTGTGCAGATATTTTTTAGAAGAAAAACCACAAAGTAATATTACCATGAAAAAAATTGGCAATTAAATTGAAAAAATAAGCAATTATCTGCGGGATCGATGGGTATAAAAGGTAGGGTCATTTCAGTGAACGCCATCCAAAACATATTCATACATTCAAAACTTCAAGTTCTTCTCAACCAGCGAAAACTTTGTAAAGATGTCTCCCCTGAAAATGTAGGTTTCTGAAATATTTATAATTTCCCCACAAATTATGAAAATAATTACTAAATTGTTCCTCCTTATTGCAGGATTGTCGCTCTCTTCGCGTTTTTCGTCGTTGTTGGGGTCGCTGTTTCCGATGAGGGGCGTCCCGCTTCGTCTGCGTCGGCCTTTGGAGACAATGGCGTCTTATGGCAATGTCAACACCCGGTAAGAAAATGTCTAAAAAATTTCATGGAAATATATTTCTGAATTATTTTTTGTTCCCACAACAGTGCCAAAATCTCCACTGTGATGACCGGTACAGCCGATGCGAGTTCAGAAATGGACAGTGCTGGTGCTTCAACTGAGTTTCTCGGTACCATTTTGACATACGCCTCATCCTGGAGTAATTAGTACATTAATCTGTATTAACGGAATTATTTATGATTGGAAATATTTATCTTTAAAATCAAAAGCAGATTATTAAATTAGAGCTTTGAGCATCATAATATTTAGAGATTCCAGCAAATATTTATAAATGATGCAGTAATTTTGATTGCATTTACATATTTTAATTGTATCCAATTAGTTGAAATAATTTTTTATGCTGAAATTAGGTTGCACGTAAAAGCAGACACTTTGGAATTATTTGTGCGTGTCCATGGAATCGTCGAAAATATGCATAATGAGAGTTATGAAAAAAACTAGATGATACCGGATTGTAAAATTTCGTAAGCACCTGTACGTTCGAGGCTACATACATAGATAATTAGAATTAATCGGAGCAAATTAATAATCATATTTATTTTTGCAAAATACTCGTATTTACATCGTACTCGTCACATTCCATAAACTTTTCATAACATGAATATCTAAGTCATAATCAGGGAATTAGAAATTACAGGATCTATGTATGTAAATACTAGTAATTTTAAATTATTTACTTCACAACATTCATAAAATCAGTCCAACCAAAAATCACAATTTTCATCCCCTATCCAGCAGTCATATCGTAGAATCATTTCAAAATCCATCATGTCGAACAGTGATTTCTTCTAGAATAAAATTACTACACCATGAAGCCAGACACTTAATAAGATCAAGATTTATGCACCAATACATCAAGTAAAATACCTGAAAGATCTGTGACAAATACTTGTGCACTAATTGTCCAAATTTGGGTGAAACAATATCTCTCACTGTGCCACACTTATGAACATAGCTGCCTAATTTGTTCTCCAGGTATTCTTCTATCCCTCTCCCAGCCCAGTTCTCCGTGCCATTTCCCTCCGATGTGTCCACTTTCGCTAAAAGACCGACAAATCTTGGCAAAAAAATTTACCACAATTTAAATATCAAGCTGAAACATGTGTACATAATTAGCATAAATTAGTAACCTTGACTTAACAATGTGCGTACGAAGTTTTCCAGGTAGGTTGCATGGAGTAATTATTCCATCAGAATAAGTCTCACCTATTTATTTGTATCATCGATAAACGTATTTATTTTGCAGAAGAAAATTATTTTATTTGATAACTTGTGCGAAAAACTGGGTGGAATGTTACCACAGGAAAATTCATAGTCATCAGCCAATCTGACATGCGATGCATTCATGTAAGTTAAATTTGCTCGGAATGTACATGTCATGTCAAAATCTATTGTCCAATTTCCGTCGGAGTGAAACGTAGTCGTGGCGTTCATGAGGGATCCGTTCGCACGGTACAATCCTATACATAAATAGGAGAAATTACATGGGTGCTTAAAAATTTAATGGTGGAAGTTCAGATGTTCGATTTTTTGCATGCAAAGCTTATGGCGAGCATGACGCGAGATTTTTCATTAAGACAGATATTTCAATCACCTGAAAGTTTGACATTCTCTGCGACGAACCGAACCGAAATGTGACCATTTTCCAAATCCGAATAGATGCAATCCGGCTTAACGTTAGCTGAGACATTTGTCAGATTTGAATTTCTAAAAACAATGGTTGGATTGGTTAATAATATACATACATATGTAAATATGCAAATTGACAGCCTCTTATTTGAACGTTTATCCATACTCAAGGTCCACTTGGAGCGAAAATAATTTGTTATAAAGGTCGATTTTAACCAGATTTGGGATATTTATTGAGTCCAGTTCATCTCGGGAAAAGCTTGGAGACGATGTTTCCATCCAATGCGTCAAATTGTTTTGGCGTAGTGTGATATTCAAGTAGGTGTCAATTTGAGACATGCCGTCACGTGCTATTGGTCAGGTTGAAAATTTAGTAGTTATCCCTCAATTTAGAAATGTACATACACACGTAGGTATGCTAAATACCTTTTAAGTAGGCGAGTATTCCAGAAAATGTAGTAGCACAAATAGTCGTGAGAACACCGAAGAATAAAATTAAAATCATGTGGAAAATCATTTTTTTCAAAATTTTCCTACTTATCGATGAACCATGTAGGGCTGAAGGTGTAAAAGTAATTAATTAGAAACTGAGACAAACTGTGTATTTAAATTCTACCAATTTCAACGGATTCGCCCACTTTCGTCCTTCTGTCACGGAATGTCATGCATTCTCATTTGCAATTTCTATATGTACATGTCACGTCAAAATTTAGTATAATGAATTAAAAATAATAATTAACAATAAAGCTTAATTAACGAATGTATGTACATCCATACATAGGTTTGAGATCTCATGAACTTAAGGTCATGAGCAATACATACATACATATTATCATCCCTGGGTTTATGCAAGAGGCAATTTTATTAGAAAATTGTTAATTATTACAGCTATGTAGCTCTAAATCTGCGACTCCGGTACTGCACGCTAGGCCAGACGGTGAGACAAATGAAAGGGAGGGATAATTACTTCATTGTCAATTCCTTAACAAACAGATAGAGCCAAAACTCTAGTTCATTTTTGGTTTTATCTGTGTATAACTAGCTCATTTGGTTTACACCATTTAGATATATTTGCATCCAAAGTTTTTCTAAGGTGAGACATGAAAAATATTATAACAACTTCTTCACACCTGTGTTCTCTCCCTGGAGTCATGTGCTTATTGCTCTTAGACATTAATCGATAACGAAGCCATAATCGTATTTTCCAAAATTGCCTTGTAATACCCACATTTCATCTCTTTGTCAAAAACAATCATTTTATTCCTGCCGAATCCTCCATGTAGCACGATGGGCTTCAAACTTGCCACCATTTTCTTAAGAAGTGTCCCCTTTCTGGCAAAAATTCTCCATTTTCGTAACCATTCTTCAGAATCCTCCCCAATTCTAGAGAACCTCGGCGTGATCCCGACAATCGTGAGGTACGTCGGCACCGCGAAAGCGATAAACACGATCCACGTGTAAATCGGTAGGAGAGGTCGAACCCTTAACACGATGAAATTACAAGAAATTGTAAATCTCAATGTTGCAACGACATAAAAGAGTAGTGAATTCAGCAGAAATTCGAAACACCAATGTTCCACCAGGATTACTAATTCCCGGTATAATTTCAAATTTCGGACGCGTAGCATTCCACAATTGACATCAAAACAGGTGGATAATGCATTAGAAAAATTGGAAAATGCTAACATGCCAAAAATCGATACTTGAGACCAGAGACGGGCAATTTCGAAAATTACTATGAAAAGAGTGGCACTTCCGAGCAGAAATAAAGCACAATTTAGCGACCAGGTGACCTTTGGGTGCAAAAAATCAGCGATAGAAGCACATAACGTAACATGATACGGATTTGACCCGGATATCTGAAAAATCGTGGGAATTATGAAGGGAGCCAGAAACCCGACAATGGAAACAATCATGAAAAACATTTTTAGTCTGTTATCTGTCCGATAAACGAGTGCCAGAGCAGCAGAAGAGGAGGTCGGTATAAGCCACCCACCAAAAGCCACTCAACAAAAGCCACTCCCCATAAGCCACACTAGGAAATAAGCCACCCCAGGAAAAAGCCACGCACCAAAAGCCACCTTCCATAAGCCACCGTAGGAAATATGCCACTTCTAGAAAAAGCTACTCTTATCATCTTCATTGATAAAACCTAGTTCAAACAACTTTGCGAGTCCTTTTAAGATCGCATTATTCACTGAAACACTATCACATTATACTATCGAAATTATATTACGGGTGTGACACCCGTAATATAATTTCGTGATATATTATTGGTAGTCACAGAAAACGTGGGTAAAAAAACAATCGAGAGACTGTATTGAGATTGTTAAATATCAAATCAGCTATTTAACATTACAAATTTTAGGAATGTGAGAACGGTTAGGGCAATGGGTTATAAGCGTTCCGATCCCTTTCGGTGCCTTTAAAATTTTAAATTGATGTTGAATTCTGCTGAGGTCATTCTCCTTGAATATCTTCAACTTATGTATACCCTAAACCACTCTTAGAGATCCAATATTAAAATTATACCAAGCGGTCATCATATATACATAACTCAACTAAAGTGGTATTGGTACGTAGATAATACCGTGCAGTAATAATAGCTCGGTATTTGTTGGATTATACATTATTATATGATTATTAGTTTGCCCCTATGGTTTGTATTTCCCTTCATATTTTACCCTCGCTTCCTTCTTTGTGTGAGTAAGAGAGAAAAGAAGTCGTCGTCCGTTGGAACTCGAGTAGAGAGGTAGTCTTTTTCTTGTGTGTGCAATTCTCATTTTTGTAATTGTTGATAATTGAAGAGATTGCAATAAATTGTTAAAAGTAATGCCAATGTGTCTTTCGAGTGTGTGTATCATCTCCTTATAACTTATCATCAGAAAAGGGCCCATTAATAGCGAGACGCGTTCCCGACGGGTAGTTGGATAAGATCGCTTTGTGTCTCAACATTTGGCGCCCAACGTGGGGCACTTTTACTGGTGTTATCGCGATAAGGAGAAGCGTGTCGACGACAGAAGACTAGCCCTTGTGCCCGAGGAGAGCAAAGCTGAATCGGCGAGGGAGAATAAGTCATTGTTGCCAAGACCCTTGTGACCGGACCGAGATTTGTCAAGCCGGCGAGGGACCAGAGGAATCACCAACCTACTTTGCCTCTTCGAGGACCCCACCCTGAGTATTCGGGGGTGTACTAGGTGATACCATTTCAATTATTTTGTTCGTGTTGTCCTTTCCTTGGAGAGAGCCGTGGGTGCCACGTCCGTGAAGGAGGGAAGCAGAATTATCACAAGTGTTCGTATAGCCTCTTCGAGGGCCCCATCCTGTGCATACAGGAGTGATTGAGGTGGAGATTGTTCCAGAGTATTATTGTTGGGAACATTTTCTAATCGATTTCGTTTGTTGGATTTATTGATTTCGAGGTACAATGGACCGGATCAGGAAGGCGCGTACTCCCGTCAGAGCAAGCATCACGAAGGTAGTGAACGAGCTGGACGCAGAGAGGACCAAGGCCGCACCGGACAAAGATACGCTCGAAATCAAATTAATCAAATTGAATAAGCTAGTGGAGGAGGTGGAGGAGCTAGACCAGAAGATGAAAGATCAACATCTGGACGGGAATCTTGACGACAAAGAATATGCAGCGGAACTTACCACAGTAGAAGATTACTACGACAAAGTGTTAGTTATTCGGCATAAAGTGAACAAGATCATTTTCCCCTCAAGCCTCAGTCCATCCACGCGCAGTTCGGATTCAAGTGACAACCACAAGAAGAATTACAAGTTACCAAAGATAGAGCTGATCAAATTCGATGGTGAACTAAAAAATTGGCTTGAGTGGTGGGCACAATTCGAGAAAATTCATGTGGATTCGGACTTACACACCACAGACAAGTTTCACTATCTGACCCAATCAATGGTGAGTGGGACTCGTGCTGCCGATGTTGTGAAGAGTTATCCAAAAACTGAAGAGAATTACCAAAATGCTGTGGATGCTCTCAGGGAGCGCTTTGGCAAAGAAGACTTGCTGGTGGATTTGTATGCAAGAGAGTTAGTGGATATCTTAACAAAGCGAGAGAAGTTACCATTATCAAAATTGTATGACAGTCTGCAGACACAGTTACAGGCCTTGGCATCGTTGGGAGTTAGGTCAGAGAGGGACACATTGTTCTTGCGACCCATGATCGAGACGTGTGTTCCGAAAGAAATCTTGACAGCTTGGTACCGCTCAACATTGTATGATGAAGATTTATCTACTTCTGATCCTCCGAAAACCAAGTTGGATAATCTGATGCAGTTCCTCCGTCAAGAAGTCGAGCGAGAAGGAAAACTGAAGATGGTTTACGGGCAGAAGGACAGAAGCAAGGACTTCAAGAAAAAGGATTCACTGTACGGAGATGCGCACCAAGAGGACGTCGCTACCGCTGCTGGTCTATCGTCAACAAGTAAAATTGGATGCGTATTCTGCGACAAGATTAATCACATGAGTCAAGATTGTTTCAAGGCACGGACCATGACCATGGAGCAGAGAAATGATAAGCTCAAAGAGAAGAAAGTCTGTTTCCGGTGCTTGAAATCTGGACATATTTCAAAGAAATGTAGTGCAACTGTGAAATGTGGTGGTTGTGGGAATAGGCATCATCTCATCATGTGTCGTGGAGGTGACAAGACTGAACGTCAGCCTGAGCAACCAGATAGCTCCGTCGTCCGTCATAATAATTTTGCAAGAAGCAACGATGTGCTCCTGAAAGTTGTGGTGGTGCGGGCGATGGGCGCAAGAGGATCTCGAACTGTGAGAATGTTGATTGACGAAGGAAGTCAAGTCAGCTACGTCGGAACGAAGACAGTGAAGGTTACCGGCTCAAAGTCGACTGGTGTCGAACATGTCAGAAATATGCTGCTCGGCGGATACGTGACAGATCTCCATGAAGAACATTTAAGAGAAGTGGAAATTGAAAATCTAGCCGGCACCATAAAGAAGAACTGGATTTTACGAGAAAAATCCATTGTGTGTACTTCTCTTCCGAGAGTTCCAGTTGGACCATGGCTGGAAACGCTGAAGAAGAAGAAGATAAATATCTCCGATCTCGCAACAACCCGCGTAGAAGATTTGGATATTGAAATCCTAATTGGTTCCGATTTGAGGGGGCAAGTGATGACGGGTAGGAATATCGACTTGGGTGGGGACTTGTTTGCGGAGGAGACGATTTTTGGTTGGGCGTTGGGTGGACCAGTTCCTGTTCCGTGCCACTCTAATGTCGCCATTGCTTTGTGCCATCGACAATTTAGTTTGCAAGATTTGTGGTCGTTGGATACTCTGGGAATAACAGATTCCATTCAAGTGAAGTCAAAATCTCAAGAAGATGAAGAAGCCAAGAAGCACTTCATAGAAAACGTGACGAGGAAGGAAGACGGTCGCTATTGTGTTGGTTTGCCCTGGATAAGCGAGAAACCTGACCTTCCCTCAAACCGAACAATTGCTGAGAAAAGGTTGCAGTCAACAACAAAGAAACTCAAGGATAATGTTGCTGTCAATCAATATAGTGAAATATTTCGAGGGTGGGAGAAAGAAGGGATAGTGGAACCTGTCAATGTCAAGAGTCCAGGAGAAAGTCACTATTTACCTCACCATCCCGTGTTCAAGCCGGAGAGCCAAACCACACCCGTCCGTCCTGTGTTTGATGCAAGCTGTAAGGTAAAGGGACAGCCATCACTTAATGATTGTTTGTATAAGGGTCCCAATCTGATTGAACTGATCCCTGCTGTTTTGCATCGTTTTCGACAACGGAAAATTGGAGTTGTCTCCGACATAAGAAAAGCGTTCCAGATGATCGAGGTGCGTGAAGAAGATCGAGATTATCAGAGATTCCTGTGGTGGGACGAGAATATGGAAACCATCAAGGAATTACGTCACGCTCGAGTCGTCTTTGGAGAAACGTGCAGTCCATTCCTGCTTGGAGGCGTGTTAGAGCTGCACTTATCACAAGTTGAGGAGTACATGAAAATAATAGCGAAGAAACTCCTTAAATCAATGTACGTGGACAATAGCATCACTTCGTTTGATACTACCCAAGAGTATGAAGACTTCCGTGCCGTGTCAACCAAGATTTTAGCCGACGCCAAGATGGATCTTCGTGAGTGGGAGTGCAGCAAAGTGGATGTTGTCAAGAAGAAGAAAACTAATGTTTTGGGACTAGCGTGGGATCGGTCGGAGGACACATTGTCATGTGAAGTACAGCCAGTTGTGATACAAGGACCGTTGACAAAGAGGAAGATTCTGTCAGTGGTGGCCGGAGTATTTGACCCCATCGGGTTTACATGCCCTGTGACCCTGGAACCTAAGCTCATGCTGCAAGAAATGTGGACAGCAAAGAAGGGGTGGGATGACGACTTGGAAGAAAATGAGTCTACAAAATTCAGAAAATGGTGTGAGGAGCTCTATCTCGTGTCGTTTATCAAGATCCCAAGACAAATGCTGTTTAGTCATGATCAAAGTGAAATGCAATTGCATTTGTTCACTGATGCAAGTAAATATGCTTACGCCGCAGTAATCTATGTGCGGAGTAAGAAAGGACAAGAAGTGAGAATCAATCTCGTACAAGCCAAATCTCGTGTCGCACCGCTTCGAGGTGGAACAATACCAAGACTGGAGCTAATGGGTTGCCTTATTGGAGTTCGTCTGCTGAAGTTGGTGCAAGAGTCGTTGGATTTCGAGATCGAGAAAGTCTATCATTGGACTGATTCGTCAACTGCCCTCGCATGGATACAACGTAGTGAGGAGTGGGGCACGTTCGTGGCAAATAGAGTCGCAGAAATTAGGAAGCTGACAAGTATTGAAAATTGGAGGCACGTCCCTGGAGTGATGAACCCCGCAGATCTACCTTCCCGTGGTTGTTCGTCGAGTCATTTGTTGTCGTCGAAATGGTGGGAGGGGATGGAGTGGCTTCGTGGTCCAGAGGATAAATGGCCAACCACGTCCAGTGTTGTGGACGAAGATGAGATCAAGACTGAACGGAAGAAAGACAAGAGATCAATTCTTCAAGTTTCACGAGAGAATGCTTGGTTCCAGTGCAAATTCTCATCGTTCAGGAAGAATGTGAAAGTAATGGGGTGGATAATTCGATTCATTACCAATTGTAAAAAACTCGGCGTTCACCAGAAAGAAGATCGGCTGAGTCTGCAAGAGATGAAAATAGCAGAACATCGTCTCTTTCAATGTGTTCAAGAAGAGTGTCTTATTCCGGATATCAGAAATATTAACAGGAAGCTGGCAATTGTCAAGAATGATGGTCTACTTTGTGTGAAGACCCGTCTACTCAACAAAGAAGACACAGATCATTTCCGTTGTCCAGTAATTCTGCCAAGCAAGCACCCAATTGTGAAGATGATGGTGAGAGAACTACACCAAATATACAGTCACCCTGGAGTGCAGTTCTTATTATGCAAATTGAGAGAACGGTTTTGGATGTTGGGAGGGAGAAAATCTATCAAGTCCATCATCCGAGAATGTCCAAGATGTCGACGTTACGATTCGAAGCCGCTGGCAGTTGAACCTGCAAGCCTCCCAGCGAAACGTGTAACTCCTACTGAAGTTTTTGAGACGACTGGAGTCGACCTAGCAGGACCTGTCACTCTGAAAGATGGAAGTAAAGCATGGATTGTGCTATTTACGTGTGCCGTGTATCGTTGTGTGTCGTTGGACGTCGTACAGTCATTAAGTGCGGAAGCGTTTATGGGAGCCCTGCAAAGATTTATCAATGTGCATGGTCGCCCCCGCACGATTTTCAGCGACAATGGTACAAATTTTGTGAGAGTGGCGAACCTAATGAAAACTTTGGATACCATGGAACTTGGAGAGAACTTTGATGTGGAACCAATAAAGTGGACGTTTAATCCTCCTGCAGCGCCATGGTGGGGAGGATGGTGGGAGCGACTGGTCCGCTCAATGAAGAATCAATTGCGCAGGATGCTTGGCAAGGCGAAGTTGACCAATGAGGAGCTACGAACCAGTCTCTCTGCAGTCCAGTCGACAATCAATGATCGACCCTTGACAGTTATGACGGAAGATGATGGGGACCTGATTCCACTCACCCCAGCCATGTTCCTACATCCAACCCGAAGTGCTCATTTCCCTGAAGGAGAAATGATCAACCAACGTGGATTTGAAAAGTCCTATCGAAGGATGAAGTCAGTCCAGAGTCAACTACAGCAAAGATTCCGAAGTGAATATTTATCCCAACTTGTGCAGAGGGGGCTGGAAAGGAAGAGTCCAGTTCTAAAGGTTGGAGACGTCGTACTCATTGGATGCGACAACAAGAAGAGATATGAGTGGCCTGTTGGAAAGGTCATAGAGGTCATCCCTGGTGGAGATGGAATCATCCGAGTGGCGAAGGTTCAAACCGCACATGACTACGAGATGAAGATTGGAAAGTTTGGTACGTTGCAAGTCACCAAGGTGAAGAAAGGACACGTGTTGACGAGACCCTTTCAACGTCTATACCCCATGGAATTGTCTTCGTCAGATGAGTTGCCAATCAGCGAAAGGATTCAAGAGATGGACCGTGCTGATTCGAAACAAGATGTGATTGTCAAGACGCGAGCCGGGAGACAAGTAAAGAAGCCGTCGCGTTATGATCATTGGAATTATATGTGTGTAAATGTAGATTAATTCTTTTGTTCGTTTTACTCTCGAAAGAGGTGGGAGGATGTTGGATTATACATTATTATATGATTATTAGTTTGCCCCTATGGTTTGTATTTCCCTTCATATTTTACCCTCGCTTCCTTCTTTGTGTGAGTAAGAGAGAAAAGAAGTCGTCGTCCGTTGGAACTCGAGTAGAGAGGTAGTCTTTTTCTTGTGTGTGCAATTCTCATTTTTGTAATTGTTGATAATTGAAGAGATTGCAATAAATTGTTAAAAGTAATGCCAATGTGTCTTTCGAGTGTGTGTATCATCTCCTTATAACTTATCATCAGAAAAGGGCCCATTAATAGCGAGACGCTTTCCCGACGGGTAGTTGGATAAGATCGCTTTGTGTCTCAACAGTATTAAAGTTTTAATATATTGGTATCAAATTTTTACGGACGGGGATAATTTTAATACCAAGAGGTAGTAATTTTAATACCGAGAAATCAATTACTGATGATTTTTCATGATCTGGTGTGACTTATATGTACCAGATTTCTCAAACTGTACACTCACATCCCAAATTTTAGCTGAGGTTGAAAATATTTGAAAATCTACGTCAATTTCGGTGCTTCGAGGTCTCAGGCAGGTCATACCAAATTTTAGCTGCGTACAACATATTTCAGAAATTTGCGTAGGTTACTCTATCGAGTTCCTAAGAATTTAAATATTAAATTTCCAGCTTGTGTGGTAAACACAAGGACTAAGCGTAGTCCAACCCCCGGTTTATTAATAAAGATGATGATGATAAGAGTAGCTTTTTCTAGAAGTGGCATAATTCCTACGGTGGCTTATGGAAGGTGGCTTTTGGTGCGTGGCTTTTTCCTGGGGTGGCTTATGGGGAGTGGCTTTTGTTGAGTGGCTTTTGGTGGGTGGCTTATGGTGGGTGGCTTACGTCCGCAAATCAGTTGGGTTCACACGATGAGGTATGTACAAATAGATAGATTGCCCAACTTGCCTCGAAATGGGGCGGTGAGCGCTTAGCAACACTTAGCAACACTTAGCACCAACACTTAGCACCTGAGCACGTCGTCCCCCGGTGATTTTTTAAACCTCTGCCCCAAATGCATGAATTCATCATATGGAGTACATTAGCCGAACGAGCCGAATTATCTTATTATTCAACACCACTTATTTTTATTTTGGCGTTTAAATTGTTCAATTTCGTATGATTTAAACGCCAAAATAAAATAATTAAAATAATTCGGCTCATTCGGGTAATGTACTCCATGCGATGAACTCATATAGCGTAAAACGGAGCTTAACAACTGTTATTTTTATTTTGGCGTAAAAATCATACCAAATTGAATAATTTAAACGCCAAAATAAAAATAGCTCGTGTCAAATAATAAATGGGAGACAAGCATGCAAACGTGCTCGAAATGCGTTTCCTGCACATTTCAGAGCCACCACCATGCATGGTGGCTCATGGCCATGAGCTGGTCAATCTATTTGTACATACCTCATCGTGTGAGTTGGGTTGTCACAAAACTCGCCTCAACTCACCTCATCCTCACATTAAGTGAGGTGAGGTGAGGCGAGTTGTGAGTTTGGGTGATCTCAATCAACCCCAACCCATATGCTCACTACACACGCTTCAACTCGTGAGTTGCCTCACAACTCACCTCACCTCACCACAATCTGAGCTAACTCATTTACAAGTGAGGTGAGGATTGGCCCAACTCACCTCACCTCAAACCCACAACCAGTCCAGAATACCAAGCTGGCTCATACGCCTCCTTGCTACATACCTTCAATGTATTAGACTTTCGGGCCGGTTAAAATTCTAGATGCCCATAGGGACTTAATTTATTGTTTACGGTATTGGGCTAAAATTCAAAATTTAAGCATTTTTTACCTTCCTATGCATGACAAAACAAGTTTTTTCGACATTTGACCTGTGTTTCGCCATGCTAAGGCCGCCCCACTTAGAGTTGGTCGATTGGGCTAAAATGCAAAATTTAAGAATTTCTGCCCTTCCTTTGTATAAAAAAACTCAGTTTTTTCGACATTCGACGTTTTGTAATGCATAGCAACGTCAAAAAGGCTTAAATTTTGAATTTTAGCCCAAATACCGTAAAAAATAAGTTAGGGAGCCTCCATAAATCACGTGATCGATTAGACGGGGGGAGGGGGTCTGAAATTTGTCACCAATTATCACGGGGGGGGGGGGGGCGTAGATGGTCAGATGTCACTTGAGTAAAGTTTTTCTAACTTTTGTATATGCCAATAAATGTCATGAGAGTTATATATAAAGTCTCTTGTCATACCACACGCACGTTATATAAATTTCATTTTCATTTTGCATATTTAGAAACCTGCTTCGACTTAAATTCTTATGTCTGACTGGCGTATTAAATAGTTATTTTTACACATGTGTGTAGTGTAGCTCGAATTTGATTAATGATTTAAAAAATATTGTTATTCCGGACAACAAGATTTAATTTGAGCATCATATCCTGTCACGTGACCGGTGGGGGGTGGGGTAGAGAAATTATCACCACCGGTCACCAAGGGGGGAGGGGGTCAAAATTGTCCAAAAATCTATCACGTGATTTATGGACGCTCCCTTAAGTCCCTATGGGCATCTAGAATTTTAACCGGCCCGAAAGTCTAATACATTGAAGGTATGTAGCAAGGAGGCGTATGAGCCAGCTTGGTTTTCTGGACTGCCCACAACTCATGTGAGTTGAGGTGAGTTATCCTCACCTCACCGGCAACACTAATTCTGACGAAGTTTTTTTTTAGTGGTACCCCACAGACCCTTCTTTTCTTCGCTTCCTGTCTATTTCTCACTGGCAGAGTTTGTGCCTCACAGTATTGTATTATGCAAAAAGATAATTTCCATAATACATAAGAAAAAATCTCTTCATCTTATGCGTCGTTCACCCTGTTGCGCATTTTTCATCAATTCACGTAAAACGTTGCGAGTGGTTCAGGTTCTCGGTTCCATGAATCTGGGTTAGTCACTCTATGTACATATGTATGTATGTATGTATGTACGACAAAACAAGTTCATGAGCAATATATGTTGGCTTATCAAGAAGGAGCGGATGTCGTTCCACGATTTACAAGTGTGCAAACATGTCCATACGGTGACAAATATTTTTTACATCCAAATACATACATATGTGTGTGTGGTCAAACCCGCATGACTCAAACATACAACTTTGTATGAAATAAATTGTATCGATGACAATGTATAAATTTTTACCTTGTCCGAGTAAAGGTCAACAAATATTTTCATAAATGCAGACAGATCAGTGTAATCATGGCAAATTGGGTACTCATAGTAATGTTCATGTGCAGTGCGTATTAACTTACTTGTTTTACAGTAATTTGGATTTTGAGCTAAATTAAGAATTAAGTTCGAACATGTTAATCAGAATTCGCAGCACCACATTCGTAATAGGTAAGTAAAGCGTATTTTTAGATCTTAATTCTGTTACAGAGTTCATAAATTATGAAGCATAATATGTAGGATTGCATAGAACCGTGCAAGTAAAGGAATTTATCCACACAAAATGTTTTTCAAGAATGGATACATTTTTCATTAATATATTTATGGAAAAATTATTGAATTCGCATTTCTGATGACAACTTGCTCATTTATGTGCATATCGCTCCCTAATTTTTGCAAGGATTTTATTAATATATTACAATAATTCACAAATCTCTTCATTTTGGGCCACATTTACATAAATAAATTATACTATAGACATGTGCCACACATTATGAATACAACTCCGCAAATGCCGCAATTTTCGTCCACATATCGTTCATATTTATCTCCCCCCAGTCCCCATGTCCCCCGGGGTACCTGGTAAACTCATGTGGCACCCCTAACTCGAACATCTTCTCCTCAAACCTCACCATCTGACTGTTCGGCACCAAAATGTCGAGATTTCCATAGAACCCGATGGTCGGGGGGGATTCTGTTGAAGCGTAGGTTAAAGGACTGGTTACGTTCCACGTGTCGGGGTATTCCTGGCAGTTGTTCTCCGATCCGAGGAGGGGTTCGATGATGGGGCGATATAAGATGACGCCACAATAGGCGGGATCTGTGAAGTCGACTGGGCCAACATAACTCACGACAACTTTTGCGTCGCCAATTCCCCGATCCCACGCGTACGAGTAGAGCATTGCAAGGTGGGCGCCGGCAGACACTCCGAAGAACGTGAATGATAAAGTTGTCGAGGGGAAGGATGCCTTCAGGAAGGTTAAGGCCAGCTGGATATCATCCAGCTGTTTTGGGAACCCTGGACTTTCGCGGGTACCTAATTCAAGGGTAAAAATTAAAGCATTTAGCACCGGTTTTTTATCATTCAAGGTGGGTCATACGTAAGCTTGGTCATTTCAAACTTAGCAAAATCGATTATAATTAAACTTCACAAACTATCTATTTTATACCACAACACAATTTTGGGGGACCTCTAAAATTAATTGAACGTAAATTTATAGCGTTTGAACCCACTATTTCTTAAAATACGGTCCGAAACAACATTCTTGTTTCGAACCTTATACTCACCCAGTCTATAGTCCATATTTGCAATGACATAATCTGGAAGACGAGCCCTCAAACTTGCCACGTCTGGATTCACATCCTCCTTTTTCCCCATGCCCCAGGCGCCCCCGTGCAGGACGACGATGACCTTCGTCCACCTTATGGTGTCATCCGAGGGCAAGTGCAAGTCCAAAAGTTGCTCCGCATCTGGGCCATACGGGAGGTTGGGCAGGACACGTTCTTTCAATTTAAAAATCAATATTAACCCATGGCAAATCTCATGAGAACGAAGATGAGTATACGATCTCACCATAAAAACTATTAGGCAATCAGAACCAAGAATTGTGCAGTGGTGTGTGTTACCAGTTGAACTTGGCGCTTGATTACACACGTGTCTCACATTGTCCAAGCTAATGTCACCTAGCGGCAGGTGGGGCACTATGTTACATTTTTCGTTTCTAGAGGGCGTTTTTCGCTAAAGTGTCAAAACGTGTCCAAAACGTTGACGAACACGATAACAACGAAACACACCCTTTAGATCTGCCGAGACTTGATCAAATGAACGGGCACACCCCCTAAACTTGACATTTGACCTGTGACCTGGGCACACCCACCAGACTTCACATTTGACCTGTGACCTTGGCACACCCACTAGATTTGACATTTGACCTGTGACCTTGGCACACCCACTAGATTTGACATTTGACCTGTGACCTTGGCACACACCCCTGGACTTGACATTTGACCTGCGACCTGCGTACAACCCATAAAGTTGACACTTTACAGAGTTGACACTTGACCTGTGACCTGGGCACACCCATTACACTTGACCTGTGACGTCGGCACACCCGCTACACTTGACCTGTGACCTGGGCACACCCGCTACACTTGACCTGTAACCTCGGCACACCCGCTACACTTGACCTGTGACCTGGGCACACCCACTAGATTTGACATTTCACCTGTGACCTGGGCACACCCACTAGATTTGACATTTCACCTGTGACCTGGGCACATCCACTATACTTGACCTGTGACCTCTGTGCCCCACGGTAAAGTTGACACTTGACCTGTGCCTTACTAATTTTAATTACCTACCAGCGCCACCTATCGGATGTTGGCTGTTTTTCAGCGCTAGAGGGCGGGCTTTTGGTTTAAGTGCCTAAACGTACTAAAAAACGTTAGAACAATGCCATACTTCAGAGTTGTGACCTAACGTTTTTCGTGGTAACCCCCTTTAGAGTCGTGACCTAACGTTTTTCGAGGTCACCCCCTTTAGAGTCGTGACCTAACATTTTTCGTGGACGCCCCCTTTAGAATCGTAACTGAACGTTTTTCGTGGTCACCCCCTTTAGAGTCGTGACCTAACGTTTTTCGAGGTCATCCCCCTTTAGAGTCGAGACTGAACGTTTTTCGTGGCCACCCCCTTTAGAGTCGTGACTGAACATTTTTCGTGGCCACCCCCTTTAGAGTCGAGACTGAACGTTTTTCGTGGCCACCCCCTTTAGAGTCGTGAAGAACGTTTTTCGTGGCCACCCCCTTTAGAGTCGTGACTGAACGTTTTTCGTGGCCACCCCCTTTAGAGTCGTGACTGAACGTTTTTCGTGGCCACCACCTTTAGAGTCGTGACTGAACGTTTTTCGTGGCCACCCCCTTTAGAGTCGTGAAGAACGTTTTTCGTGGCCACCCCCTTTAGAGTCGTGACTGAACGTTTTTCGTGGCCACCCCCTTTAGAGTCGTGACTGAACGTTTTTCGTGGCCACCCCCTTTAGAGTCGTGACTGAATGTTTTTCGTGGCCACCCCCATTTAGTGTCGTGACTGAACGTTTTTCGTGGCCACCCCCTTTAGAGTCGTGACTAAACGTTTTTCGTGGTCACACTCAATTACAGTCGTGACAACGTTTTTCGTGGTCACGCCCATGGGGTCGTGAGTGAACGTTTTTCGTAATAAAATAATAAAATCGTTTTGCTTAGAGCCCGCACTGCGGGCTTAAGAGACTAGTTTACTACTATAAGGCGTCAGCCTTGGTATTGCAGAATAACTGGCTGAATAGGATAAAAAATCTTCCGCTTTACTCGACCTGCTGATCACATGACAGAACCGAGAAACCAGCGCCGTAATGAACTGAATTATCCTATTATTTTACGCTCGTTTTTTTTTATTTGGCGTTTAAATTATTCAATTCTGGTCAAGAATTTGGGTAATTGAATGATTTTTACGCCAAAATAAAATATTTATTTCGATTACATTAGCCGGTAAACCGAATTATCCTATTATTTAACACCAGTTTATTTTATTTTGGCGTGAAAGTCATTCAATTACCCAAATTCTTGACCAGAATTGAATAATTTAAACGCCAAAATAAAATAAACGAGTGTAAAATAATAGGATAGTTCGGCTCATTCGGCTAATGTAACGGCGCCCCTTTCCGGCTGGTTTTCATCGTGCGACACCTTGACTTCTAATACATTTTATTTGTGATAACGTGGGCTACGGCGCTGCTCTGAAAATCTCATATTCACCCGTAATAAACTTGAAGGCGGCCAGATTTTGAATTTAAGTCTATCCTATCCAGCCAGTTACTTTACAATAAGTCCGTAACCACGTAAACCTACGAAAGTTACGAATGTTTGACGAAGCTTATGAGCATTTTTACAATTTTTCCTTTCAAACATACAAAACCTTACCAAGATAGTAGGCAAGTTTTTGATTCGTAGTTTACGTGGTTCCAGATATTCGAAGGATGACGTGAATTGCCTCTAAATATGTGATTTAAATTGTGCATAAGAAATTATGAAAACTTTAATTCGTTGTGAAATTATGAAAACAACATCGTACCCAAGACCCATTGTATAAAAGAAATCGGTAGTACGAAAGAAGACTTAGAATCTCAAGTAATGGTCTAAATCGTTGTTTAATAGTTACGATATCTCATTCGTAGCTGACGTGTTTTTTAGGAACATTGGAAAATATAATAAAATAATAAAACAATCAAAAAAATATTCAAAACTCATTTTTTCCCCGAGTACCAAGTTCTCATAAACTTATGAAAGTATGTACCTCTCGCTTGACAATGTCCCCCCGAAATGAAGGGGAGCACAAGGACGATAACTGCTTTCCAGGAATACATCTCGTTCACCAAGCAATGTTCATTCGTTGGAAGATAAATCGCAAATAAATAAATTCCTTTACACAGTCGAGTCTTAAAAGGGACAAGTCAAGTACTTTGTGGTATGTCGACCAGGTGTGGTGTGACACACCTGATCTTATGGAGTAATACTTTGGACCCGTGTTAAATGTAAGATAAGGTTGATATCGAAATGTCACAAGCTTCGTGATAAGGCTGGAAATAATTTCACAATTATCTTCCAAAGTACGTACATAAATAATTGTCTCCATGGCACAATAAATTTAACGCATTAAGTATAGTGACCTCCTGAGTTCCTCCTCAGTGTGGGAAATATGTTAGACCATTGTTTAATGTCAACATACCCGTAAATCTTCAATGTTTCGTCGGTATGTTCTTACCTGTATGTGCATTTTTTTCGGATTATGAAACCAGCCTTTGGAAACTATCTTTTAGCACATCCCCAAAGTTGGGGTCACTGGGAACTTAAGAAAATTTTTAGTAGATTTCTTATGGAAAATCGATGTCCGCTAAAAATAGTTCCGTAGTCCACATTCGTCACTTAAATGTAACTTACATAAATAGAGCAAAAATAAGGGAATCGAATAATTTTAAACAGATTATGCTAATATGATTTACATAAGTAATTGGTTCTTTAGCTTTCGTATTTCGTATAGTTATGAATTTGAAGTATATATAAACATGTATTTCGTTTATATAATTCTAAACGGATATATATTTACATGCATATACAGCGACTCCAAACTCATGCATAAATATTTAAAGGGAACGGCTTCAGCCAATACAAAACATCACAGTTTCCTTAATTAATAATTTGTCTTGCTCTTTTTGGAATGAAAAATTCTTCAACATTTTTAATTCTTCAACATCCCTTATTTATACAATTTACATATGTATCATTGTCAAATTCACAATTTCAACTTTAATGTTTGCTTGTTATGGAAAGAAAAGTTTTCGTAACATTGGCAGAATGAATTTGGGTCATTTTTATTGGTTATTTCAGTTTGATGTACATGCCTTTGACAAGTTTTGACATTTTTCAGTGATCGTAATTTTAGTACATTTCCTCAATTTGACGAACCGATAATCAAAAGCCCCTGCGTAAAGGGTGAACGGACGCATTACGTTTATCCTCATTCTCATAAACCTCCTTAGATTGCGATAATGACGGATTTTTACGGGGACCATTTTCAATTTCTGAATGATCTCGGCCGACTCCTCGTACTGATAGATGAAGGGCGTTACGAGAATTTGTAGCACGCAAACAATGCCAATTGCAAAGAAAGGAAATATCCAATACACTGCAATCGGAATTAAGGCGTAGGCTGAAAGTGACAAGTAGAACGTGATAATGGCCGACCCCATTAACGATGTTAGTATAGCACCAACGGCGATGTCACTTATCTCATGAACAGATGCAAGCAGAATGTGTAGCATGTCGTAAAGTCGCCACGTCAATCCGAAAGAGAGTTTTCCATGTCTCAGTTGACCCATCAGGAAAAAGATGAAATCCACCATAGCGTTGACCCAAACGATCATGAAAGCTCCGATTTTGGTCATTTCAAGAACGCCGATTATGGTAAAAATATAGCGCAGTGTGAAAATCTTGAATGAATGGTTTCACAAAATTTGTGGCTGTATAAACACTGGAAGAACGTATAAATAAGGATCCAACTTGAAGAAGTTGCTAGGAAACATATGGGAATAACCCAAGTGGGAAGATGCGTAATGAATGATCAAGACAAAAATGCGGGTGAAAACCTCAAACAAAGCGGGTTTCTTGGTTTCCACCTTCAATTCTGCAATGAAATTAAATGTAATGATTTTATTTATATAATTCCGAACAATCAGATTAAAAAGTGCAACGTGACAGAAATTTATGTATGTGTCCCGTCTAATGTACATATATACATACGTAGCTGGTCACCTCATTCGCATATTTTGACGCAGTCGCAAGAGGCATAGATTTTATTTAACATGGGAAACCCGTATCGCCGAAAATGCGCATAGTGAGATTTATGCAAATGAGGTGACACGCCTATCTAACTTCCATAAAGCGTTAGTGTTAAGTCGCTGCCTGCCTGACTGACCGAGGAGTGATGCGATGCAAGCTGCCCCACTCTCACTCCGTCTCACTATTGACTGTATCCACCGCGATACTCTCTTCTTCTCGCTCAGTCGGATCTGATGAGCAGACCGACAACAACACATTTTTCCACAAATCCTCCAAGTTTCACCTCCTCCTCCCACTTAAAACCACCACCCATAACAATATAAATAATTACATATTACACATACATTACATTGCGCACGTACGTACGTAAACAAACGTACATATTTACTACATACATACATACATACATACATACATACATAGACATATTTACATACACAATATACAACTACATTATCCTACGGGGTAGTATCTTTCACGCGGATAAAGGCCAAAGCGCCGTATCAAAGGCCAAAGTGCCGTATTAAAGGCCAAAGTGCCGTATTAAAGGCCAAAGTGCCGTATTAAAGGCCAAAGTGCCGTATTAACGTCCAAAGTGCCGTATTAAAGGCCAAAGTGCCGTATTAAAGGCCAAAGTGCCGTAATAAAGGCCAAAGTGCCGTAATAAAGGCCAAAGTGCCGTAATAAAGGCCAAAGTGCCGTAATAAAGGCCAAAGTGCCGTAATATAGGCCACAGTGCAGGGTACCGTAACAAAGCATAGCGTAGTGTGCCGTCATAAACAACAGCGTGCTGCGACAAATTATATTAAACTGAATAATGCCCCCAAAGAGACAAAGGACTGCCGAAGGAGATGCTGAAAGAAAAAGGCAACATGCTGAAAATATGCGCATGCGCCGTGCAAACCGTTCTGAAGAACAACGTTTAGAAGAACGCGAAAGAAATGCAGAAAATAAGAGAAACCGAATTGCAAATCTCTCTGCGGAAGAACGTTCCATTGAACGAGAAAGACGTGCAGAAATTGAACGAAACCGAGTTGCAAGTCTCTCTGAAGAACAGCGTTCCCTTGAACGAGAAAGACATGCAGAGATTGAACGAAATCGAGTTGCAAATCTCTCCGAAGAAAAACGTTCCATTGAACGAGAAAGACGTGCAGAAATTGAACGAAACCGAGTTGCAAGTCGCTCTGAAGAACAGTGTTCCATTGAGCGAGAAAGGCATGCAGAAATTGAACGAAATCGAGTTGCAAGTCTCTCTGAAGAACAACGTTCCCTTGAACGAGTAAGACATGCAGAAATTGAGCGAAACCGAGTTGCAAGTCTCTCTGAAGAACAACGTTCCGTTGAACTGCAACGGAACTCAAAGAACAAAAGACATAGAGCTGCAAATATGGCAACCCCTCAACGTATTGAACAAAGGCGTGCAAATGTTGCGGCTGCATCAACTTCAAGAGCCGCAACGAGGCTTAGAAATCTAAATCAGACCATTCATGCGGCATCAATTAATAGGTTTAATGAAGCCGACATACAGCAGCACACCTGTGGCGAATTAAATGTTCCATGTTCTTTCTGTGGTGCAAAACATTTTTTAAAGGAACGGCCACAAGACAAAAAATTTACACAATGCTGTCAAAAAGGAAAGGTTGTTCTTCCTCCTATTAAATTAGCCCCGAATATAGAAAAATTAATGAAAAAGAGCATGAATATTCAAATAATTTTTTTGAGAACATTCGTTCAATAAACAGTGCATTGGCTTTTGCCTCAATGGGAGCAAACATCGCCCCTGGTCAAATTTACCACAGAACTGGATCCCTTCATCCAACAAATGGGGACCAAAGAAAATGTGCCCAACTTTATATTCTTGACCCGGATGAGGCATGTGATCAAAGAATGATGATTCGTGAAAATGCGCATTGTAATGCTGAAATTATGCGAGAGTTGAGCTCTTTCATGGCTCAAAATAATCCTTTTGCTAAAGCATTTAAAATGCTTTACGAAGTTGAAAAAGAGTGTTTAGCAGAAGCTACACTTAATGGAGTAGAACCAGCGACTGTAGCTATGGCTATTGTTCAAGATCGTAATTCTGATCAAAGACGTTATAATGCACCACTAGTAAATGAAGTTGCAGTACTATTCCAAAACGCTGATGGCGAACCTCCACTTGAAAGAGACATTCTCATCCATTGTAGACCCAATGAAAATGATTTAAATCCTAAGAGAACAGAAAGGATAAATATATTGGATCCCAATTTGGAACCAATGGTATATCCATTATTATTTCCATATGGGGATCAAAGTTGGGGAATTGATCTGAAGCTAAATCGGCCCCCATCATTGGCAAATATGAGACAACCCTTTGCTAATCCAAGAACACGAATTACTCAAATGCAGTATTATGGGTACCGTCTATCAATTCGTGACGAGCTAAACCCATTTCTGTGTGCAGGAAAGCTGACTCAGCAATACTTTGTAGATGCCTACGTAAAAACTGAGGCAAACAGATTAAATTTCTGCCGACAAAACCAGGGCACTTTACGGGCTGAATAATATGCTGGCCTAATCGATTATATACAAACTGCAGCCAATGACCAAGTGCTAATACCTGGAAGAGCGGTTATATTGCCTTCTTCTTTCATAGGAAGCCCAAGAAATATGGCACAAAATTACCAAGACGCTATGGCAATTGTCAGGAAATTTGGAAAGCCCGACTTTTTTGTAACTATGACATGTAATCAAAAATGGCCCGAAATTACAGATAACCTTCAATATGGCCAGAAAGCTGAATTTAGACCCGATTTAGTAACTCGGGTCTTAAACCTAAAGCTAAAAGAATTGTTGGATGATATTTCCAAAAAACAAATACTGGGCATTTTAACAGCAAAAGTCCATGTAATTGAATTTCAAAAGAGGGGACTTCCGCATGCCCACATTCTTTTAATGGTTAAAAATGACGGTCCTGTGGATGCCGAAAAACTTAATCAGCTTATATCCGCTGAAATACCAGATATTAATGAATATCCTCGGTTACATGCAGTTGTAACAAAGCATATGGTACACGGCCCATGTGGTTCGGCAAATCTAAACTCACCATGTATGGTTATCCCAAATATCGCAGACGAAATACTGGCCAAAATGATATAAATGGCAGACAGATTGACAACTCTTGGATTGTCCCTTATAATCCATACTTGAGCTTGAAATATAATTGTCACATTAATGTAGAAAGCTGTGCATCTGTAAAAAGTGTCAAGTACCTTTTTAAATACGTGTATAAAGGACATGACTGTGCAAATATTGCTATCTCTGAACAAGATGTCCTTAATCATGATGAAATTAAAACTTTTATGGACTCAAGGTACATAAGTGCTCCAGAAGCTGCTTGGCGACTGTTTGGCAATTCTATGCATGAGCAGTCACATACAATCTATAGACTGCCAGTACATCTTCCGAATGAACAAAATGTGTATTTCAAACCAAATGATGTGCAAGCTGCGGCCGAAAGAGCCGGATCAAAAGACAATGCTGACGGCTTGGTTTAAATTAAACGATACAGATGAAGGTGCAAGGCCTCACTTATATGCCGATATCCCCGAACATTATGTCTTTAATAAAGTAAGTGGAGTCTGGAAACCACGTCAAAGAGAGACAAATAATACAATCGGTAGAATGTATCCTGTTAATTTATCTACCGACGCAGAAAAATATTGCCTTAGACTACTATTGCTTCATAAGCGAGGGGCTACTTCCTTTGAAGATCTTAGAACTGTAGAAGATGTAATCTATCCAACCTTCAAAGAAGCAGCCCAAAGAAGTGGCATATTTAGTGATGATGCTACTTGGGACTTTGCATTAACCGATGCAGCAATTTGGAAAATGCCTCGGCAAATGAGAGACTTATTTGCGTATATCTGCGTGTTTGCAGTTCCTCCTAACGCTTTGGAACTTTTCGAAAAATACAAAGCTGATTTGTATGAAGATTTTGCAAGAGAGTCAAGGCACAATCACACAGATAATTGCCCGCATTGTACAAATCTTGCTTTAGTAGAAATTCAAGCAATTCTTATCTTGAGCTACAAGAAATGCGAAGACTTTGGCTTGCCGTCTCCACCAGCCAACATGCGTGCTGCTGCAGAAGAGTATTTTGATGTACTTGCAGAGAAACAGAAAGGTGACGCATTGAAAGATACGTAGGTGTTTTATTATTGATTTTCAAAAGGTATGTTCTGCACTGTTTCTGACCAAAATTTAGATGAAATAACAAACTTCAAATACATTTAGGAAGTCGTGATTTTTTTCAGTTAAATCGGTTAACATAAACACTAGCAATAAATCAGCAAACTTTACCTCGAAAAAAATGTCAGATTTGCAAATTAAATACCGTAGTGTGATTTAATTTTTAATGGTGGAGGGGCAATACGTGTCGCAGACTTATGATCGAATGCTTAAAGTTTACGATAAAAACTGCTAAACACAAAACATAAACTCAATTGGGTCAATAATTTCAAATGATGGCGAAAAGAGGTCTCGGACAAAAAGCCGCTAGGGCGCCCAAAATCTGTTTCTTCCATAGAAAGGCTCCGGAAACTAGAGGAACGAATAATGAGAGATCCGCGGTTGAAACTGTCCTATTTAGCAGATGAGACGGGTGTTCCAAAACCAACAATTTGTCCCATTTTAACTGAACATTTAGGTATGAAAATGGTTTCCGTCCGTTACGTACCAAAATTGCTTTCGGCATCTCAAAAAAAGATCGAAATCGACTTTGTAATGCTAATTTTGACCTTTTGAATGAAAGGTGGAACCTGCTTCATATTTTAGTAGTTAGGTATGATACTTGGGTTTACTATTATGACCCGGAGACCAAACAATAATTCATGCACTGGAAGTATGGGGTGTCGCCACCGCCCATGAAAGCAAAAGTGCAAAAATCTGCCAAAAAATTGAGGATGACCAGTTTCAAAGATACAAAAGGTCCTCTGATTATCAAATTTATTGCTAGAAATACTGCGATAAATGAGACTGCGTATGCGGGAACCCCGAAGGCGCTGTGTGCTGCGGTTGAAAAGAAACGTGGGGTCAAAAAATAGAGGTGGTGCATTTTTTGCACGCACCACTTCATACCTGGCATTTTGTGAGGGCTGCTGTAGACGACAATTGCTTCGCCGTTATAAACCACCTACTGTACAGTCCAGGCTTGACCCTTAGTGATTATTATCTATTTCAAACGTTGAAGAAAAGCATCAAGGGGAAACGATTTTGGGATGATAATGGAATCAAGTCGTAAATTTTTGCATATTTTCGAGGTAAATTTGGATGATTTATTGTGGGTGTTCCTTTTAACCGATTTAGCTGAAAAAAATCACGACTTCCTAAATGTATTTGAAGTTTGTTATTTCATCTAAATTTTGGTCAGAAACAGTGCGGAACATACATTTTGAAAATCAATAATAAAACACCCACGTACTCTTAACTGTGAGCAACGAAATGCTTTCGAGACAGTATTAAATGCTGCCGAAAATGCTAACCTTCCACACAGAATATTCTTTATGGATGGAGTTGGTGGAAGTGGGAAAACACACGTGTACAAGACCATACTTTCCACAGTGGGTGGCGAAGGAAATATTGCATTACCTATGGCATCAACCGGAATTGCAGCCAATTTGCTTGATGGTGGACGCACTTACCATTCGCAGTTTAAATTCCGCATTCCTATAGATGACACAACAACATCGCCAATTCGATCGAAATCAGCAGATGCTGAGCTATTTAGACAAGCAAAATTGTTCATCTGGGATGAAGCTACAATGGCTCCAAGTCTTGCATTAGTAGCAGTGGATAAATTTCTTAAAGAAGTGATGGATAATCAAAAGCCACTTGGCGGTAAAGTCTTACTATTAGGAGGAGATTTTAGACAAACGTTACCTGTAGTTCCTCATGCAAGTAGATCTGCCATTGTAGAAGCGAGTTTGAAATTTAACAGCTTATGGCGAAAAGTCAAAATTCTACACTTACTTAGTAATGTAAGGTCTGTAGACAAAAGCTATAGTGATTGGCTACTAAAATTGGGAAATTGAACATTAGAAACTCCTCTCGGCCTCCCTAAAGATACAATTGAAATCCCAGAACAACTTATTTGTCGGGAGTCAATAATTTATGAAATATACGGAGAACGTCTTACGGTTGCCAATGTTGCCAACTTTTCAAAAATGGCAATTTTGTGTCAAAAAAATACGGCCGTTGACAAAATAAATGACGATGTTTTAAATATTCTTGAAGGAAATTCGGTGACTTATTTCAGTACTGATTCCGTGGATGATGAAAATGCAGAGGATAGACAACATTATCCTGTTGAATTCCTAAATGGTTTAACGCCATCTGGAATGCCTGTCCACAAGTTAAATCTTAAAAAGGGCAGCAATATTATGCTTCTTAGAAACTTAAATACGAAGCGAGGACTGTGTAATGGCACCCGTCTAATTGTTGAAGACTTGAAGCCCAATTTAATAATTGCAAAGGTGCTTACAGGGTCTGCACAGCAACAAATTGTATTCATTCCAAGAATTGATTTGTCCACTGCAAACGCAGATTTTCCATTCGTTTTACGAAGAAGGCAGTTCCCAATTAAATTGCCGTTTGCAATGACAATTAATAAATCTCAAGGGCAAACTTTGGAGAAGGTCGGAGTATATCTCCCTGAACCAGTTTTTAGCCATAGTCAATTATATGTTGCCTTATCAAGAGTGCGACGCTTTGCAGATGCAAAAATTAAGATAATAGACGGTCCAGAACAGGGAAAATTAATTGAGGGCTCGGATAGAGTTTTTACCAAAAATGTGGTGTATGAAGATATATTTGCAAAGCAATTAGACCCGGATTGTCAATAATTCAAGTCAATTTGAGCTAGCGGTGGCTCAGACAAATGTACCGTCCGTGCTTTCTTAATAAAACAAAGAAAGCCTGTGGGGCAGCACGCAGAAGGGGGTCCACGTCCCCTGCCCTGGGAGGATATGATATCCTGCAAACGCTTCTGCAAAAATTACTTATGAAATAATACCGACAGCAAAGACGTTTTATGTATATAGATACATCCTAGGACCCGTCCTTGGACGGGCTATACGCTAGTAGTATATGTATCTGTACGTTTAGGAAACTACACATGTACATATATACATATATGTTTGTATGTAAGAAACGATCAACTATTTAAATTTCTATACTTAAGGAAAATTAAATATTAAACTAAATATTTCCCTAAGAACCTTATTAAAATGTAACATATTTATGGGAAAGTATACATAAGTACTACTTACTCAGAATTATTTCACCAAAAATTTGATTCCCGCTTCGTATCCCTACCATGCTAATAGTATGGGAAGGATACCAGCGCGGGATGGAAAAGAAAAACTGAGTTCATATTACTAGTGTATGTACGCACCTTGGACTATGGCCTTTTCCATAATGTTCAAATTTTCCCACGTAATAACCACATGCTGCCCATATATGTCAGTGATATGACCTGACTAGCATACATAGGTACATGTTTAAGTAATTATTTATGTATGCATACCTAATTCGAAATCTCACCTAACAATACTGTTCTTTAATGCTCACCCTCTGTACGTATTAATTATCGGTGCGCTAAGAGTGCCGTAATCGTAAAATAAGCGATCTTCTCAATAATCGTAATTTTAGTACATTTTCTCAATATGATGAACCGATAATCGAAAGCTCCTGCGTAAAGGGTAAATGGACGCATTACGTTTATCCTCATTCTCACAAACCTCCTTAGATTGCGATAATGACGGATTTTTACGGGGACAATTTTCAATTTTTGAATGATCTCAGCCGACTCCTCGTACTGGTAGATGAAAGGCGTTACGAGAACTTGCAGCACACTGACAATGCCCAATGCTAAGGAAGGAAATATACAATATACTGCAATCGGAATTAAGGCGTAGGCTGAAAAGGACAAGTAGAACGTGATAATGGCCAACCCCATTAGCGATGTTAGCAAAGCACTAACGGCGATATCACTTATCTCATGAACAGATGCATGCAAAATGTGTAACATTTGATAAACTCGCCACTTCAATCCGAAGGAGAGTTTTCCATATCGCAGTTGTCCCATAAGAAAAAATATGAAATGCACAATAGCATTGACCCAAACGAACATGAGGGTTCCGATTCTGAGAAACTAAAGGACGCAAATCGTGCAGAAAATACTGCGCAGGGTGAAAATCTTGAATGAATGGTTTTGAAACATTTTGTCCGGCATTAACGCTTTAAGAGCGTAAAAGTAAGCATCCAAATCGAAGCGGGTTCCTAAGAAACAAGTGAAGACGCCACAAATGGGAAGAACTCTGATGACCAAGACAGAAATACGCGTGAAAACCTCCAACAAATCGGGTTTCTTCGTCTCCACCCTCGATGCTGCAATGAAATTAATGAGTTTCATTTAGATCATGCAGATTAAAAATTGTATGTCCAAAATTTATTTAGGTATAGGAGTCACAGAGTTGGATATTTATGTAGAGGGTGTAACTCCGAGAAAACATCGTTAGATATATATTTATCCATATATAAGTGTTTATAGGTATATGGATAATCGATAAGGCGACAACAATTTCCATGATAGAAAATTTAATTAAAATTAAAGGTATTTAAAATTTGATAAAAATTACTGAATTGTGTTTTTATTTTTAAAAAATTACCAAAATGTACAACAATAGAAATAAACATATATATATATGTAAGGAACACTCATCTGCTTAAGTTGTTACACGTAAAGAAAAAAATAAATATGCATACACATATTTATGTATGAAAAAGAGATTAATGTACATATGTAAATGTATGTAATAAATGAGTCATGAGCTTACGATTAGGCATTACTTAATAAGGGGCAAGTTATACGAAATTTATGTACCTTGGAGTATGACCGATTCTATAATGCTCAAATTTTCCCATGCCGTAACTCCATCCTGTCCGTACATGAAAATCTTCAGCCCGGCCCCGCAGCCCAGCACGCCAATTATTCCCAAGAATATCTGGATGACTAAAACATACGCCGGGATATTGGTCACTTTTACGAAAATCTCCCTCAGACAAGTGAAACAACAACACAGAGCTCCAAGCAGTATGACTGACATATTTAAATACCACACAGAATATAGATTCTACTAGAAGAATCGATCTTATGTATTCGAATGAGGCTTATGGAAGAACGGGGGGAGCCAACCAAATAACTCGGTGTACATTTGGCCCACCTGGGGGATGGCACCTCCGCATCATCATCATCACCACATCTCCTGGCATCAAACAATGATGATGAAAGCACATAGGTGGCGTTGGCACCCCCATTTGTGCACCAGAACACACCATTCTGAGCTGCGTCTCCACAAATTTGATGCTCTACGAGGGTGTGTTCTGGTGCACAAATGGGGGTGCCACCGCCACCTATGTGCTTTCATCATCATTTCTTGATGCCAGGAAATGTGGTGATGATGATGATGCGGAGGTGCCATCCCCCAGGTGGGCCAAATGTACACCGAGTTATTTGGTTGGCTCTCCCCGTTCTTCCATAAGCGTCACTCGAATACATAAGATCGATTCTTCTGGTAGAATCTATATTCTGTGTAAATACCACAACCGTAATTCTCTGTGATTAATTCGGTAAATGAATTTCTTCTTCTGTACGTTCCACATGATCGGTGTCTTCCCAATGCTTTGATACAGCGAAGCATATTCGTTCAAGGCGAGGATGCAGGATCCGGTCGGCATTTGATGTGAGATATTATGTACTTATTTAGCTAGTCTGTGTAAAATAAATTCCAGCATCAAATCGGGACACTATTAATAACTATGTCATTTTGCAAAGATGGAATTGGCAGAATTTATGTATACCCACTACAGGTTTAAGAAACGATAATACAGTTTTTCCTTATACCCGAAATTGCGTTACTACTTCTTAGGACATTTATATTTGGCTTTTGCATCCCAACTTGGAATTCCCAAGCAACCTTAGCTTGGTCAAATTTTGTGTTGTGTAAGTTACTGACGTATTTCGGAATGTTGGATCATCAAACAATAAATAAAGGGGTGGGGGTGGGGGTGGATTTGGGTGGGGGTGGGAGTGGTTTTATAAATGCCGTATTGAATTCCTCTTGTCCGTCTGTCCGTCTGTCTGTCCGTCTGTCTGTCTGTTCACGAGTTTTTTGAATCAATTGATGCTAATTAATAAGTCCCACAACCATTTTAACTCTAATTTGTAGCACAATTGGTATCAAACAATCGTTAACGCAAAATGGTGCGAAATAATTGGAGGAATCGATGTATTCCGCACCAATGGTTAGGATTAACTGAAAGTTTTAGTTAGCTTTGGCTGACTTAACTTAACCTTGAAATAGTGTCAAAATTTAGTCCCAATTTTAACCATTTCGGCTGCACCATTGGTGCAACATTTTCTCAAATTTCTGTTATTCCTCGTTTATTCTGTACCATTGGTGCAAAATTATATGAAAATTATTCATCCATTTTATCCGCTTATTTTGCACCTTTGGTGCAAAACTAACTCCTTATCATTATTCCAGGGTGAGCTACTTCTAACGTTACTACGGTTTATTTACACTTGGAATCCTCCTCAAATAAAAATCCTTCCATCACTTTCTCCACTGATGTGTACATACATATGGACCCAGTCTTAATTAGTGTCTCATTTGTGCCCCCATCCAACTGAAATCTTCTTACACAACTCTTTCTCCACTTTTGTGTCGCGTGTTCTATTTCTTTCTACTTTAGCCAAATATTGATCTGCCAATCATCCCGACTTATGTATGTACTTATCCACCTCACAATTAATTAGTCCCACTTGTAGCAAAGTCCAACCGGGTCAAGTCCAGGTCCAATTGGAGTGCACATTCAATTAATCAGCATCACTCGCCTCATTAGTGTCACCATGCTCGCATCGTAGCCTACATTCCATTTATCCATTTCCATCATGAAGGTGAAAGATACCATGACGAAAGCGCCATATTATCCGACCTCGTACGCGACGAATGTGCCATTTTTAAAATTTTTGAAATACGTGGGAATTTATCCGTACGCTTTAAAGTTTCACATTCCTGGAGAAAATTCTCCCCCGGGGGAGGAAAAGATTTTGGCCGAGGTTGGAACCGAGAAGGGTGGACCTTTCGTCTTTTTGAACAAAATGGTTCTGATTTTGTGGATAATTCGGACAATTTTTCAGTCGGGTCAATTCATACGATATTGGATTTTGCATTCGTCCCCGGTTATGCTGTTTAGTCTCATGTTGTGGCCAGGAACGTCAGTGCTTGGGCTGATTATTGGTGTGAAATACTGGTTTCACGGGGAAAAGATTTGTGCTCAAATTACCAACGCGAACGATTTGGAGGCAGAAATTTATGGTGAGTGGTGTTAATCAAATTTTTAATGGTGGCAGGATTATATAGAATTCTACAATATCACATTCAGAATTTCGACTCACTTGAAAGAAATTCTGTTTGGAGCCGAAATTGGAGCTATTTTGACCTGAATGAAATGCAAGGGCAAGAAACTACTTCGCACCACAATAGTTCTCAGGACGCGTCGCTAGATGGCACATATTTCCTGCACTTTCTTGCACTTGCATTTCCTGCGTTTCTTGCTCTACAATCCAATAAATGTAGCAAACCCTCGAGAAACGAAACACTGAAAATTTCATCAAATCACAAATTATGGTCATTACTTTGTCAAAATTTAAATGATTCATTTCATCCCCAGAATCCTACAACTTTGACGCCCACGTTATCACCACGAGTTTAAATCACCGTCAAAAATTCGCCGAACGCACCCGCCTCGTCATCATCCTCACCATCATCGGCATCAT